TCAATGGGGACCTAGAGCTGATGGTCTCTCTTTGTGTTAATCTCCTTTTTACAACCTTGTTTTAGGTGAAAAGTTGGGAGAGAGTAGCTGTAGATCTGGATTGAAGAAGCAGCCCATGTAGGAATGGAAATTTGTTTTTAAGAAACTGTAATAATCCTCTTCCTGTACTAGAACAAACACAAGCATCTTTCTTTCCTACAGCTATTCTTCACTGGGGCTGACCTTCTACAATAATTCCTTTTAGAGCTGGAAGAGGGGCAGTGCCTTCAAGTATGTCTTCTTGATCTACAAATATTTTTGTGGCTGTTACAGATTGGTTGTGTCAACACGTACACACTTACTGCTCAGTAACTGAAATTACTGTGCAGTATGGGCACACATATGTCCTGCACAGTTAAATATGGAGACATATGCCAACTTGACTGTTTAATTTGATACCTGCATCATTTGACAGCTGCATCAACTTACTGCACAGTAAATTTAAGCCAGCGTAAATGCATGTGTAGACCCACCATCTATGTAGAAAAATGAACAATGTGTTCCCTGAAATAAATATTGGAGTCCAACTGATGTGTGCAGTGCTAGGTTGCGATGGTGGGATGAATTTGTCCCAGTCTGCTGGTCTGAGAGGGTGGTGAAAGGGTTTTTCCCCCTCAACTAGCTTGTGACAATGATGAAAGGACTTAATTGGAGGGGAGGTTGGAGTAACAAGGACGCACTGCAGAGTAGGAGTTTTGAAGTGATGGGAGCCCAAGAAGGGTGGCTGTGCCTTAAGGAAATGATCCTTCGGGCACAAAGGGAGATGATCCCGATGCGAGGGAAAGGGGCCAGGAGGCTTCCTTGGCTGACCAGAGAAATCCAGGGCAGCCTATGGGCCAAAAGGGGGGCACATAAAAAGTGGAAACAGGGAGAGATTACCAAAGAGATACCTCCTCTGCTTGCACTTGTAGGGAGGTAGTTAGACAGGCCAAAGCTACCATGGAGCTGAGGATGGCATCCCAAGTAAAGGATAACAAAAAATTGTTTTTTAGATACATAGGGAGTAAAAGGAAGGCCCAGGGAGGAATAGGACCCCTGCTAAATGGGCAGAAGCAATTGGTGATGGATGGGGGGACAAGGCTGAACTCCTCAACGAGTTCTTTGCCTCAGTGTTCCTAAGCGAGGGGCACGACAAGTCTCTCACTGGGATTGTAGAGAGGCAGCAACAAGGCGCCAGACTTCCATGCATAGACCCTGAGATGGTGCAGAGTCACTTGGAGGAACTGGATGCGTTTAAGTCGGCAGGCCCGGATGAGCTCCATCTCAGAGTACTGAAGGCACTGGCCGACATCATTGCACAGCCACTGGCAGGCATATTTGAACGCCCGTGGTGCACCG